TTTTTTTTTTTTTTTTTGGTATACATTCAGTGTCGAATGAATGAGTTGCTTTGATTGCGTAATTTCCTCGACTAGCTTCAAAATTGTCTTAGCAGATTTATGTTAGATTATTTATTTGATTTGTGCTTTACTTTCATTATGATTTTCGATTGATTTGTTAGCTTTTAGGATGTTATGGATTTGCTTTATGAGTGTAAGGATTGGCAATCTATTCAACTTCTCTGGGCTTCATTCAGGCCTTCATTTGTTGATTTTAAGTGCTTTGTTTTCTGAAGCGAATTTTTCATCCGTCAAAGGTTGCTTCGTACATTATGTAGAACCGTTGTAGCTATGGGAGTTTCCGTTCCTTGGGTAAGATTCTAATAAATTACCTACCAAGTCACTTCATTGTGCCTTTTGTGCTTTTAATTCTAAATAATAACGTCTAATGACAACTATAATGTTTGATGAGATGATAAACAGGGGTCACTTAACTCATGTTTTCACGTATAATCAAAGAGACGTGGGCTCTGTATGGAGAGGAGGTTTGAGGAGGCTTGGTTGATGCTGAAGGCATGGAGACAGTGGGTTATGCATGAATATAGATTTGCTGGCTTGGAGTTGGTGGGAGCTGGGATCATTCGGGTATGGTCCCCTCATATTACATGTTCTTGAATTAGTCTGAATGATGCAAATGAAACATGACCTGAAGGGTTATCTTGAAATAGAAAAAGCAGGAATCTCACATAAATGATATCTTGAATATGAGCAACTCATGACAGTAACACAAAAGAAAAGAAAGGATTGATCGTTCTTCCCCAAATTGAAATTGGAGTACAAGTAGTCAGGTCACTCTATATCTGCAATCAGTGTTATGTTATGGGCATTGGATTCACTTCTATATGATTATTATTTGCTTGTTTGTGCATGACTATATGTGGGGTGTAATATTTCAAAGCACTTGTCCAATTCTGGACCCATTTTTTAAAGCACATCTGATAGATCTGCTGGCAATGACTAATGAGGATTACTTATTTTAATTCATCCACATCAATTTTATTTTATTTTTGTAATTTATGTCCATATGCCTTGAATTCAACACTTACCGTCAAATTTGTAGAAGAAGCTCATGTTCTATTTATACTAATCTTATGTTAAGACATAATATAGAGGAAATCTTCCGGTGATTACCAAAAAACACTCATACTTGTAAAATTTCACGAAAAATCTTACTTCAATGAACTTCTTTGCACTGCCCCCTGAATTTTAATTATATCGAGATATACTAATATATTGCTGTGTAAATTTGGCTACTTCTATGTAAACACAAAGTAAAGAGAGTATTCAAAAACCACTATGGAGTTAATATATTTTTTCTTTCATTAAAATGGACCTTATCAGTTACACAACTTAATTTCTTTAGAGCACCAATATAGACGCTAAATTTAGCACCCTGGATTTCACTTAGCAACGAGTCTGGGGTGAATGGAGGAATTGTTACCGATAATGATGTTCTTCTCAAAATTGATGATTCGTCTGGTGATGACCAGCTGACATTGAACAATGAGGTTGACTTTAAGGCATCCTCTCTGGTTACAGCTCTTGCTAAAAACAGTATTGTTGAGAATTTGTGTTGGTTGTTGAAGTTCTACAAGACCAATTCCATCACGACTAATCGTTACATTGTAAGCATGCTTTGTCGGATTTATGATGATATAGAACTGTCCCAGATGCTATACCAGGTATATTTTGTCCAAGAAAATATTTTGTGAAAGAAATCATTAAAAAACTGAGTTCTTACATCTTTTTATCAAATTTGGCAGTGATCAATATTTTATGATATCCTGGAGGAGCAGCAATCGAGACTGTCCAAAGTGCACGAGAATATTATTACTTTCTTGAGAACTTTGGTACGGAGGATGTTGCGCAATATGGAGGACTTTCCCCCTTCTATTTGTCGAGGTTCTATTCTAGAAGACACGAAAAATGTGCCACTATATAAATTGTGGATCCATGATAAAGGAGCTCAAAGGAATCAGAAAAAACAATGGTGAAGGCAGAAGTGAAAATAAAAGAGATAGTTTTATTGAAGGGCAAAAAAATGAGCCCAGAGGAGGTAGTAGATGCTTTGGGCTACGATAATTTAGGTACATCTGTCCATGATAGTCAACAGTAAGAACTCTTTTTTTTTGTGTAATTCTTTCAATATTATTCATTTCTCCTCAAGTTTCGTGTTGCCTCGTTTGATACAGTGAGGGTCACCCTGAAGAAGGATCAAATGGGTCACTGGAAATAGGAAATGACATCACACTTACTGATGAAATGAGTGACAAAATTAAGGATATGTATCAGAAGTAAGTTCTCCTCTAATAATAAAAAGATATTTCAGATCACTAGAAGAAGACTGTGTGTGTAAAATAATATGACTTGGATTTTGGTCCTTCATATGAGGGGAGTGTACAGTCTGGTTTTGAACTCTACTTGGGTAGAGAATATGGAACGTAACTCATTTGTAACACTGTTAGGTATGAGGATAATCCTGATTTTTGCCAATTTAGTACCGGTGAGCTCGATCCAAATGTAGAAATATCAAACACTCAAGTCTCCAAGATCCTCAAACAGCTTGGATCTAAAGTTCCAGCTTAAGACCTACATAAATGCGTTAATAGGCCACTAGGGTTGACCAATGTGACATACTAACTTACATGTTACTCTTCGAATCGTTTGGATAAAATGGTGTCGGTGGTTGCTAGCATAATATATCAGAAAGTGGTTCTTTAATTAAGTGAATTTGTTCCCAATGTTAATTTAAAAAATCTTACAGGCTTACAGTTTTTTTTTTTTTTTTTTTTTTTTTTTTTTTTTTTTTTTTTTTTTTTTTTTTCTTTCAATTAGTTTTGTTGAATTGTTTACTTCATTGTTCTGGTGATTGTATTTTTAATATCCTTAAGTTCTTTTTTAAGGAATTGTAATTTTCGCGTCATTTTTGTTTTCCTATGAATCATTTCAGAGAAACTTGGCGCGTCAGTGGAAGTCCTTGCTAATTTGAAGCAGCTATTCTCACTTGCTGAAAAGTATGGGTACTCTAAGTGGATCCAGTTTGATGCGTCCATTGAACGTGGCTTAGCCTACTATACTGGAATAAAGAATCATTTTTGAGGTAATATTGCATTAGTAGAAAATTAATAAAACTAAATTCGTACGTGTTAATGGTGGTGTCAATTTTAGACATAACGTTGGATTTTCAACCTCACTACAGTACTCAACCAACGAGGTTAAGCATTTTGTAAAAAATATCTTTAGTTTGTAAAATAGAAGCAAATATCAAAATGGTGTTTATAATTCTGAAATATAGACATGATTTCTTATAACTAGACGAAGTCGCGTAGATATTCTTTAGAAGGATCATTACATTAAGTAACCTTGAGGTTTGATCTAATTACAAAATAATCCATATTAGTGTTGAAATTACAGAAAGTACTTGAGGTTGGTTCAATGTTAAACTTGAGGGTGTAGCCATAATGTTACTAAATGTGGTGGACATTGAATTCTTTTATCTATTTATTTAGTTTGGATAAAAAAATGTGTAAATTTCTATTGGTTTTGAGGATTTGATCGAGAAAGAAAGCTGAGAGCAATTTGTGTCAGAGGTCGATCGGCAGATTACTCAACTTTTGGTGGCGATGATCTCCCAATTTGTGGTTTTAGATTTGGTTATGCACTTATTGTAGAAGTTAGTGCAATCCATTCATATTTTTATTATTTCGCCATATACTCTGGTTTTTTCTCAACTGATCCTTTTTTGCTATAATCATCGTGGAAGGGTCAGTTTGTGAGTTTGCGCTCATACCACATGAAGGAATTGCTTTCAAGGTTAAATTTTAGTACAAGTTTATGATGCTATGATGGGTTCGATTGTTAGGTCAATGATAATCATTTGCTTTCAACGCAACTTCTAGGATTTATGGTAAACCCAACACTTGTTTTTTGTGATTGGTGGATATCTTATCATATTGTGGGACTCTGTGATGGATTCCTATGAAGTAATTTATCAAGCTACTTTTAGAAATGTTAACAAATATTTGTATGTGTATGCTCCGGGTTTGAAAAATATATGTATAAAGTTGGACACATTATCAACAACATTTTTTAGCAAATCCATGGTATTACCAGGGATTGGGTTTAAGCATTGGGATGAAGCAGTAAATTATTTCACTCAAAACGGAAAAATAGCATCTGGTGAACGAGACTGCTTAGATTTTTTGCAACAAACACTATCACCTGCGAGGGTGGTAACACCAAAGAGGCTG